AGGGCTGCGAGCGAGAAGTGTCCTCATTCCTCTCCAAGAAGTTCCAAGGGAAGATTGCAAAACTGGAAACTGTCCCCAAAGAAGACTTGGACCTGGTGTGTATTCCTCTGCCCTCTGTGCTCATGAGTAGCACTTTTTTGGGGCCTGCACAGCTCTAGTGAGGTAGGAAGGGACAGAGTAGTGGAGGGAAGCAGCACACTTGGCTTCAGTCTCCTAGTGCTGCTTGTGGTGCCTGGCAGAAGTGGGTTAGTTATGGCTAATTCCTTACCCGTGGTACTTGCACTCCTCTCCTTGGGCACAGCAGGTGTTTCACAGCGTGTTCAAGATGTTTAATTGCAGGAGTTAAAGAATGATTGGAGGAGGAGAGGGTGCTGTGGGAGGGGGATGCAGCTCATGCTTGACCTGCTCCTTCTCCTGGCTGAATCCTGCTCATGGTCCTGCCTGCGTGGGCAGCAGGGCTGGCCAGGCCCTTGCTGTGGACCAGCGCAGCTCTTGTGCTCTTCCCTGACGTGCCCACCAGAGCCTCTTCTGGGTGCTTGATTCTCCCCCCACATTGGCACCTCTTTTTTGGCCAATTCTCCCGCCTGCATCAGTCTAGTCTGCCTTCCCCACCCTCTCTTACGGTGGCCGTCCCTCAGCACTCGTCCCCCCCTGAGCTGGCCTTGTCTTGCTGCTTTGCAGCCAAACCACTTGGTGGGCCTCAAGAGGAACTACATCAAGCTGTCCTTCAACACGGTGGATGACTTGGTGAAGGTGCGGAAGGAGATCTCTCCTGCCGTGAGGAAAAACAGAGAGCGAGACCAGGCGAGCGATGTCTACACAGCCATGCTGTCAAGGTGGGAGCTCTCCTTCGGGCGGTCCCGCACACTAAGAATTCGGCTGCCCCAGTTGCTTCTGAGCTGACCTCAGAGAGGGGTTGTCCTGCCTGGGATCTGAGCTCAGCTATGCTTCTCTGCCACCCACCTCCATGGTGGTTCTTGCAGCTCGGTGCTGCCCATCAAGAGGCCCCAGAGCCTCTGGGACATGACGTGCTGTGATGGTACCTCTGCCTGCGGGTCAGATAGGTTCCCTGTGACCTGAGGAAGGATGCTGGGAGGCACTGGGCAACCTTACTTTTAGCTGTGACTGAAGGGAAAAAAAAAAAACCAACAAACATTTTCTGCCTGAATAAAAAGCCAGGCACTTGTTTACAAGATTGGAAACACATTTGCAGACAGGAAAAAAATAAAGAAACTTTGTTTTTAAAGTCAATCAGAATATAGACGAGAAAAATTCCCCCCTCCCTGGTTTCCTGGCCCTGAAGTCTGATTTCAGTTGAAACTTGAGGACAAAGAATCGAGCAAGACGAGTGCTCGCTGCGCACCTGGAAGACGTGCTGTCCCTGTTCAAAGTGCGTCCCAGGTTGCCTCGTTATGCGTAGGCTCGTTACCATACTGATAAACCCAGTGCCACTGGTCGTGCAGGCGCGTGCGGGTTCTGCCTGCCTGTCCCTCTGAGCAGACAGCTCACAAACGTGACAAAAGGCAAATCAGACAGGGGCAACAGGACTGGATGTGCTGTCCATCCCGGGGACACCTCTGCAGCAGAGGGTGGTTGTGTGGCGGGGAAGCGTTTCCCATTCTCTCCTCTCCCGTCACTGACTCCTGCTGCCGGGTGTCACCGGCGCGGCGGGGCTGTCCCTCGCAGCCGAGCCCGTGGAGACGTGCGCTCGGCTAAGGCGGGTGCTTCCCTCTGCTCCTCGCAGCGCTCTGAGCGGAGGCAGCCTGAGCATGGATGAGGAAGGGGCCTCCAGAAAACTTGCCAACCAGATGGACAACATTGTGGACATGCGGGAGTACGACGTGCCCTACCACATTCGCCTCTCCATTGACCTGAAGATCCACGTGGTAAGGAACAGGGAAGCTGGAAGAGCATCACTTTCCTGCTGCTGCACTCCTGAAGTGCAGGCAGGGTGGAAATGTTTTCTCTCCAGGACCTTTGCAGAGGCGTCAGTGATGATGTGTTCACCTGTAAAGCTTAGTCCTGTGCTGCTGAGCCTTCTCCTCAGTTAATGACATGCAGAAAATTACATGATTGATGCACGGCCACAGTTTGAGCCTTTCTTCTGGGCTGCGTTTAATTCGCGCGGCTCCGTCCCCAGCAGCCAAACACGCGATGCCGGGAGCTGGCGCTGCACTAGGGCACTGCTCACCCTCCTCTCTCCGCAGGCTCACTGGTACAACGTGCGGTACCGGGGCAGCACCTACCCCCCCGAAATCACCCGGCGAGACGACCTGGTGGAGCGGCCGGTGAGCGTTGGTGGGGCAGGCGTCCGTCTGTCCCGGCGCACGGCTGGCGCGGCCGCCCCAAGGGGCTGGTTTCCAGCACGCTGGTTTCCAGTGCACAGGGGGAGAGCTCTGTTTCTGGGTTTGGGTAGTGATTTTGGGGTTGATAATAGCAGTAAAATGATTGTTGGGGAGGGTCTGGTTCACTTGCTGGGCTAGCACTGGGCTCAATGGGAATCGCTCGTTAACTTCAAGGCAGCTTTAGAATATTTTCCTAATGGAATTGTTCCTGCTCAGGACCCTGTTGTTCTCGCCTTTGACATTGAAACTACCAAACTCCCTTTAAAGTTTCCTGATGCGGAGACAGACCAGATCATGATGATCTCCTACATGATTGATGGGCAGGTAAGGGACAGCAGAGTGGTTTCCCCCAGGAATCAGGGAGCAGGCCAGCGTTACGCCTCCCACTCAGCTTGCTCCAGGCTGGCCTGGCCGCTGGCCGCTTGGTGCGTGGCTGTGGAAGTGAAATCAAAGTCCGAATGATGCGTAAGATGTTTAGTTCTGTGGTACCCAGCTCAGGTTCCTGGTCCTCCTCTGAGGGAGCAGTAATAACCTGGAGAGCACAGGGACAACTCTGCTGTCCCGTGTTGTCTCCCTGTGGCCTCTTTAGCCAATGGCCAGTGATGGTTCA